ACACACACACACACACACACACACACACACACACACACACATATATATATATATATATCAATCAACCATGCCATGGCCGGGTGGCCAGTGAAGTGAGCTGGGACCAGCTTCCTCCCTCTTCATCTGGTGCCTCCTGGACCACATGGTGCAGCTGTGTACACAGTCAGAATAGCTGATGAGCTCGGAGTTCTGGTTCTGACTCTGTGCCCAGGTGAGATCACAAGTCAGTCACTTAAACTCTTTGGGCCTCAGTTTCTACAAATTAAGGTTTATTGACCCCTCTCCAGTTTATGTCAAGGAAAATAATTACAACAACAAAAGCTGTTCCCAATATATTGAACACCCACAATGTGCCCAACATAATGCTAAGCCCTTATAAACTAATTTCCATAGGGGTCATACGTGATAAATATTATTATCTTAATTTATGCATGAGAATAACTGAAGTTCAGGAAAGTTAAATAATCTGTTACAGGTCATATAACCAAAGAATGTTGAAGCTATGATTCTTCCCTAATACTGCCTGACTTTAAAGCCTGGATTATCTTCACAAAATGATATAGCCCTACAATTTATAAGATCACTGTAAGGAATCAGTGAAACCAGAACTGAGAAAGCACTTTAGAAATTACAAACTGCTCCATAATTGTTTTCAACTATAGAGAAATTCTGGTTAATTACTCACAAAAAGAATGGGTATTTGCTATCTCTAACTAACATAAACATCCAGTTGGTTTCTCTATTCCAGTCAGTCAGCTCCAGTCACCAGTTAATTTATTAGATGAATAAAAAATGTCACAGAATCTTAGCTTTTTCTAACCTCAAACACAATCAAACAATGAACTTTATTGCCAATCCCAGTGCCCAGTTGGGTCTGTTATGTGTTTGATATCATTTAAGGAGTATTTACTGAATCCTAAAGACTGATTTCTGAATTGTTTTAACTTCCCATCAGAATACTCAGCTCTAGTCAAATGGACTTGCAAACAGGATTAATAATTGGAGTCTGTGAGGCTCATGCTCCCTGGTAGACAAGTTCTAATATTTTTTTAAACTGTGACATTTTTTCGTAAAAGTAACATTGCAACTACTTCCTCTCCTAAAAGGCTATATGTTAGATGTTTTAGTTTGAGAAATCTTGAAGAGAGCAGGAGTTACCAATATTTAAGCTTCTTTTGTACAATTCTCTGTTATGAATTTAACATGTTGTTTACTAATCCTAGTAACCCTACAAGATCAGTATGATTAAGTGATAAGTACTGATAGATGTTGAAAATCGAGGTATTCTAGTATGTCACAACAACAACAACGGCGTTGGAGCCACAGGTGTACTAAAACTACAGCTGATCAGCTGAAGTGAAAGAAAAAGCTGAGAAAGTGCCGCGACCCACAGAACAAACTCCAATAAGGCCTAGTCCCATACTGCCCTGCCATGCCGCAGTTTCCAGCTTTCCCCCACCCCTAACCCTCACTCCTACCTCATGTGCTGAATTCTGGTGCATTTTACCTGATTGCTTTTCACATATACCAGGAAAAAGTAAAAAAAAAAAAAAAAAAAAAAACCTTCCACGAGGCTTATATTTATTTAGAAAGTTGAGTGATTTGCAAATACATATGTCCTGAGGAGGTAATAATGCCCCCACTTGAGATAACTGGAAACCCATGTAACCCAAAATCAAAAGTTCAAAACCCAGCCTGAAGACTAAAGCCAAATTGTAAGAGAAAGCATATTTCTCAAACACTTCCTAAAATTGTCTCTTTGGTTGGCTCTCCCACTGCTCAGTGACTCCTGAGGTTTCTTATTTATTAGAGTAAACAAGCACAAATGTACCTCTTCTGACTCCCAGGTATCTCTTACCTTTGAGGAGACAGAGAGAGAGAGAGAGAGAGAGAGAGAGAGAAGGCACGTAAGCACCGGAGCTGGATTTTCTGCCACTCCGGGACACTAACATCCCCAACTCTGCCTTGACTGTGGAATTTTTATTGCTTTTGATGGCAACAGAAAACAGAGGAAAAGCCTGCAGCTGGGCCTGAAGTCCCAAGTGGAGTTTAATGTGGCTGCAGTGGAAAAAGTTGTGTTTCAACTTGCAAAATGAGAAAATGTGATATAGCAATCACTAGGGGAAATAATAAACATGGACTGTGCCTAAGCATCAAATCTGTGTACAAAACTACAGCTCAATAAAACCAACAGAGGGTAACATCTATTTACTTTCACTCCTTTAAACACAATAGTTTAATAGCTTCAATTACTTTTGATGGAGTTGCAGGCCTAATAAATGTCACATTCCAAAGTTTTGAAACCTAAAAGCTACACTGGATCCCGGCAGTTAAAATAACAACAAACAACCACAACTCAATTGCTCAAAGTTCAAGAGATCTCATAAACCAATCCAATTCTAGTCCCTTGAGCCAATGATATCACTAGTTAGACTTGTCTAATAAATCATTTAGTCAAATTTAATCTCTACTTGCACAATACTATTTAGCACTTCATACATTCTGTTTCCTCTTTAGGGCAATTCATTAATTAGACATTGTCATATCTGCAAAATCAGAGTTATATTTGCCATCCTCATTTTTCATATAAAAGAACAAAAGAGCAAAGACCTTTTTGCAGTCATGCATGAGACATGAAACAATTCACGACATGTGTATTATGCACTGTACTTGGCTCTGTTGTTGTGCTAAAGACCTCTGATTTCTATGCAGATTTTCTGCTCTTTTAAAAATGTTTTTCGTGTTGAGAAAAGAATCATAAACATCAGTGGGATGGAGGGCTTCATGAAAGGAATAGTGAATAATGCCAATAAGGCAAGCGATCAATGCCTGAAAACAGAAAGGCTCCTGGTAGACTTGGCAGGTTGTAGGTCATGAGTGGCTTGGATAAGAGTTGGCGAGCTAGAGAGAGGACAGATGCCAGTGGATGGAGCAGTGATGTGAAATGAAAGGGAAGACGGTGACTATAGATTACTGTTCCTAGAAGTGTGGTTGTAAAAGAAAACATGAAGGATTTTTGTTCATGGTCCCTGATTGCACTAGTCACCCAGACTGAAAGCCTAGTCACCTTCAATCCTGCATCTCCCTCACCCCCTACACTGCAACCACCAATTCACCAAAGCTTTTCCAAATCAGTGGCTCCCAGATAAACAAACTTCTTATGTCAGACCCTTATCATTTCACACCTGGATACTTCAAGAACTTCCTAACTTTGGGGCTCAGCATTCCACACCCCTGGCAATCAGCAACCCAGCCACCTTGTCAGATTTATCTGCCCTGAAGACCTCATTTTAGCGCTCTGCTCCTGCCAAGCTCGCCACCAAAACTCCCCTGCATTTTCCTACATCCTCGCCTTTGTTTCTGCCCAGTCACCGCCTGTCAAATGCTTCACTGTTCTTCAAGATCCATTTCAAGTATCATCTTCCCCCACGAAGCTGCCATGCCCTCTCCAGCCAGAGAGGGTCCTTCCAGTCTCTGGCTCGCTCAGAGTAACATGTCACTCATCATTCATCATGCTCACCTCATTGGGGCTTCTTAAGTTCCTTCAAAACAAGGACCGTGTCCTGGTGCTGACACAGCCCTCAGCTCGTGTAAACACCCGAACTTGAACAGTACTTTTAGTATTATGTAAAAGACATCTGTCACACGGATTTAGGAACACAGTTTCTTATTTGTGCCTACACAACAGTGACAGCTAAGCATGTAGCTTCTCCTTCTTGCCAACTTGTTACTGAGTGCAAAGTTACAATGTTTCAGA